GCAGGGCGCCCAGGGTCAACACTATACCCGCTCTAGCTCTCGAGGAGGTCCGCTGGAGGAGGAAGAGGAGGAGGAGGAGGAAGAGGACAGCACAGAGAAGTTCAAGGAAAGAACGTAAGAAATCAGTCGAACATCAAAGTCTCCCAGTCTCTGGGTTGGCAGCGTGGGCCGGCGTGGGGAAGCGGGCGCGGGCAGGGGTCCCACGGGCTGCCGGGGCGCCGCGTCCGGCTGGGTTTGCAGAGGGACGAGGAGCAGCCACCGGAGAGGAGGGTGACAGGAGAGGGCGGGGAGGGGGCTCTGCTGGCACCCCCAGGGAAGATGTCCCCACTTTCTGGTGAGGAGGGTGCCGGGACATCCCGCTCCGGCACGCAGGGGTTGGCCACGGCGAGTGGGGCTGGCTTTCCGCAGCGGTGTGAGCGTGGGGGAATGGAGCGGCTGGAGAGACGCCCTGGGGTGGCCCCGTGCCTGGACCGGAGGGGCCGGTGCGGTAGGCACTGCTCCTCACCTGCGGCATCGCCGGGCGCCGCGGTCCTGCCGATGTTGGGGAGCAGGTACTCGATGTTAGGCACGGACTGAGCCTCCTTCTCATCCACGGGGGTCTGCAAGAGGAGGGGATGCAGCAGTCAGGCGGCTGCCGATGGCACCCCAGCTCCCAACCGGGGCTCTGCGCCCCCCCTGCCCCACAGCAAGACCCCCCAGGGGGATGGGACTCACCTTCTCGCCCTTGTCCTCCTTGTCACTGAAGAACCAGTCCGACTGCGGGGGAAGACAGGAGAGGGGTTAGGGACTGGCAAGGAGCGATGGGAGCCCAGTGCGGCCGGGAAGCACCTTCCCCTGGGGTGCAGATCAGCCCCTTCCTCCAGCCACGTCGATGCCCACCTGCCCGCCGATACCACTTACGTGCTGGATGAGGGTCTCCACGATTTTGTAGCGGTCAGGCATGTGCGTCACCATGTCGGTCATGTTGTCCTCGGATGTCCGCACCAGCGTGGGGCCGAACACCAGGGCCAGGTTTCGGGGCTCCATCTGCAACCGGAGCTGGGGTTAGTGCCTGCCCGTGGCCTCCATCAGGCACCGTCTCCCTTCCCACCCCACCACGATCTCCAGCTCAGCCCGAGCTGGGGGGGCTCGAGGTGGGGCAGGGGTCCGGGAGAGCATGCCTGGCCCCGGAACGGTGCCCGGGGCCGGATGCCCTGGGCGGGCAGATGGTACCTTGTTCTTCTCCGAGTGGTCAGCGATGGTCTTCAGGTGACCCACCAGGAACTTGAGCGTCTCATAGTAGTGACCTGGCAGGTCCCGGATCTGCGGGGAGGCACCAGGTCACCTCTCTGCTCACCCCCCCCACCCTTCCCACCCACACCAGCACCCAAGGTGGGGGGCGCCAGGGCTGTGTCCCCCCCCCAGCCCCATCTCCCTGCCCCCTGCC